TGGCATCTAATAAGCATTTCAGTACAAGTCGATCAAATCTATCAAACAACTCTGATGTTCCTGAGCAAGGGAGGCCACCTGTTCCTTCTTCAGTCACATTTGCTCGAAGAACTTCCTCTGGTCGCTATGTTAGTTACTCGAGGGACGATCTCGATAGCGAATTGGGAAGTGCGGAATTCATGAACTATACGGTTCACATTCCTCCAACTCCAGATAACCAGCCAATGGATCCTTCCATCTCTCAGAAAGTCGAAGAGCAGTATGTCTCTAACTCCATGTTCACTGGCGGGTTTAACAGCGCCACGAGGGCTCACCTTATGGACAAAGTGATTGAGACAGAGACTAACCATCCACAAATGGCTGGCGCCAAAGGATCGTCTTGTGCTATCCCTGGCTGTGATGCTAAGGTTATGAGCGATGGGAGAGGTCAAGATCTTCTTCCTTGTGAATGTGACTTTAAAATTTGTAGGGATTGCTTTGTGGATGCGGTCAAAACCGGAGGTGGGATTTGCCCCGGGTGTAAAGAACCGTACAAGAACACGGATTTGACCGATCAGGCTGATGATAACGGTCAGCAAAGGCTTCAGGGGCTTGGGGGTAATGGGGCTAAGATGGAAAGAAGATTGTCATTGATGAAGTCAACTAATAAATCAGCTTTGATGAGGAGTCAAACCGGTGATTTCGATCACAATAGGTGGTTGTTTGAGACAAATGGAACTTATGGTTATGGGAATGCTTTTTGGACAAAGGATGGGAATTTTGGGAGTGGTAAGGATGGAGATGGTGACGGTATGGAGCCGCAAGATTTGATGAGCAAACCTTGGAGACCTCTTACTCGGAAGCTAAAAATTCCTGCTGCTATTATTAGTCCATACAGGTAAAAGAAAAGAAGTGTTTTCTATTTCTTCTTTAGCTTTACTAAATCCATTAATACTCTATGATCTTAAACCAATGATGTTTTTTGTTGCAGGCTTTTGATATTAATCCGTATAGTTGTTCTTGCATTGTTCTTGAGTTGGAGGATTCAGCATCAAAACCAAGATGCAATATGGTTATGGGGAATGTCTGTGGTTTGTGAGCTTTGGTTTGCCTTATCTTGGCTTCTTGATCAGCTCCCTAAGCTATGCCCTATTAACCGTGCGACCGATCTTCAAGTCCTGAAGGAGAAGTTTGAAATGCCGACGCCAAGCAACCCGACAGGCAAATCCGACCTTCCTGGACTCGATATATTTGTCTCGACTGCAGATCCCGAGAAAGAACCTCCTCTGGTCACGTGTAATACCATTTTATCAATTCTAGCTGCGGATTATCCGGTTGAGAAGCTTTCTTGCTATGTATCCGATGATGGAGGAGCACTTCTTACGTTTGAAGCCATGGCTGAAGCTGCAAGCTTTGCAAACATTTGGGTTCCTTTTTGTCGTAAACATGTGATTGAGCCGAGGAATCCAGACTCCTACTTTAGCTTGAAGAGAGATCCTTACAAGAACAAAGTGAAGTCTGATTTCGTGAAGGATCGGAGAAGGGTTAAGCGGGAGTACGATGAGTTCAAAGTCAGGATTAACAGCTTGCCTGATTCGATCAGGCGACGTTCTGATGCTTATCATGCTAGAGAAGAAATTAAAGCCATGAAGATGCAGAGGCAGAACAGAGACGATGAGCCTTTAGAGCCCGTGAAGATTCCGAAAGCTACATGGATGGCTGATGGTACTCATTGGCCTGGAACTTGGTTGACTTCTGCTAGTGACCATGCCAAAGGTGACCATGCGGGTATCATTCAGGTATAGAGTTGATTTTTAAAAGATCTTTTGTATTTTCTTTGAAGATCTATGACTTTAAGAAAATGGAATAGCCATTGATTCAAGATCTCATTTGTTATCCAAGACATCATTTTGTTTTTGAATATTATTGATCAATGCAGGTGATGTTGAAGCCACCGAGCGATGAGCCATTACACGGAGTATCTGAAGGGTTTCTTGATCTAACGGATGTGGATATTCGACTTCCGCTCCTCGTTTATGTTTCCCGTGAGAAGCGACCTGGATATGACCATAACAAAAAGGCGGGAGCCATGAACGCCCTTGTCCGAGCTTCTGCGATTATGTCAAACGGACCATTCATACTCAATCTTGACTGTGATCATTACATATACAACTCTGAGGCAATGAGAGAAGGCATGTGCTTCATGATGGATCGAGGCGGCGATCGGCTTTGCTATGTTCAGTTCCCTCAGCGGTTTGAAGGTATTGACCCGTCAGATCGATATGCTAATCACAACACTGTCTTCTTTGATGTCAACATGAGAGCTCTTGATGGGCTTATGGGTCCGGTTTACGTCGGTACCGGCTGTCTCTTCCGGAGAATCGCGCTTTACGGATTCGACCCGCCGCGGTCCAAAGAGCATACCCCTGGTTGTTGCAGTTGCTGCTTCCCGCGTCGCAAGAACAAGAATCGTATTCCCGAGGAAAACCGAGCTCTGCGGATGGGTGATTACGATGACGAAGAAATGAATCTCTCTTTAGTCCCCAAGAAATTCGGTAACTCGACATTCCTCATTGATTCAATCCCCGTTGCTGAGTTCCAAGGCCGGCCTCTTGCGGACCACCCATCGATTAAAAATGGACGACCTCCTGGGGCACTCACCATTCCGCGAGAGCTTCTCGATGCAACCACCGTAGCAGAAGCCATTGCGGTTATCTCTTGCTGGTACGAGGATAAAACCGAGTGGGGATCGCGTATCGGTTGGATTTACGGGTCAGTCACAGAAGACGTTGTCACTGGTTATAGAATGCATAACAGAGGCTGGAAATCGGTTTACTGCGTGACAAAACGGGATGCTTTCCGAGGCACTGCTCCAATTAACTTGACGGATAGGCTTCACCAAGTTCTCCGTTGGGCAACTGGCTCGGTCGAGATTTTCTTCTCCCGTAACAACGCTCTTCTTGCAAGCTCGAAAATGAAAATCCTCCAGAGGATCGCCTACTTAAACGTCGGAATCTACCCGTTCACATCGATCTTCCTCATCGTCTACTGTTTCCTCCCTGCGCTCTCCCTTTTCTCCGGTCAGTTCATCGTCCAGACGCTCAACGTCACTTTCCTCGTCTACCTTCTCATCATTTCAATCACTCTCTGCTTACTCGCTTTACTCGAGATCAAATGGTCGGGTATTACACTCGAAGAATGGTGGCGAAACGAACAGTTTTGGCTCATAGGAGGAACCAGCGCTCATCTTGCAGCTGTTCTCCAAGGTTTGCTCAAAGTCGTAGCTGGAGTCGAAATCTCCTTCACGCTCACTACGAAGTCCGGAGGAGATGATGTAGACGACGAGTTTGCGGATTTGTACATGCTGAAATGGACTTCACTTATGATCCCTCCGATAACGATTATAATGGTGAATTTGATAGCGATTGCGGTTGGATTCAGCAGGACGATATACAGTGTGATTCCACAGTGGAGTAAACTGATAGGAGGAGTGTTCTTCAGCTTTTGGGTTTTGGCTCATCTTTATCCGTTTGCTAAAGGACTAATGGGAAGAAGAGGAAGAACACCAACCATTGTGTATGTTTGGTCTGGTCTTGTCGCCATTACCATTTCTCTTCTTTGGGTCGCCATTAATCCACCAGCTGGTAATACTGAAATCGGAGGATCTTTCAGTTTTCCTTGATAGGTTTGGTTCGTTGAGTAAACAAAAAACTATATTGTCTTATTGTATTAAAATCACATTCCTTTATTAGATTTTTTTGTTGTTCTCTCGTTGTATCGTTTATGTCGGGGATGTTTTGCTCAGTACATTTATTTTTGTAACGAGACCATTATTTATGTTATATGTTCTAACCTTCGATTAGTGGTGGGGTTAAGTAGAGTCTCTACACTCTTCTCATAAGAAGGTTTTGCATAAACCAAGATGGCAAATTGCTTACTAATTTTGTGTTCTTACTAAATTAACGTAACGACTAAAAATGGTCGGACGATCAAGCTTTATCTTATGGAACATAAATACATGCGTAATATCCGTCTAAAGTATTCCTACAAGTTTTTAAGTATTACTTCAAAAGTAAAAATTTATATAAATTAATTTATTTAAAATTTGTATAGTTTAGGCTCCAATATCCACAACCCACATGACAACCATGTGTGAAAGCAAAAGCATTATCGTGAGTACTTTTCGAACAAGAAATGTATCGGAGATTTGAAAGCACGTTCTTCGATAGATCTCTCTCAAGCAAATTCATTAAAAAATTCCATTAAATTAACCAAATTCTAAAAAGTTGTTTCTTGTTTGTGATATATATTTGATAAACTGTTAGTGGTATTTGATCAAAATTTGAAAAGTCAATATCATGACCAAAAATTCTTATAAGTTATAACTCATATTTTGTTTTACAATACATCTATATTAAAATGAATAATTTCTT